GTTGACACGGTTTGAACTATCAAACAAATATATGGTCACATCGTCAACAAAGATATTTATTTTAATACGTTCATATTAGGCCTTCAATGCCCATAAACAAAGAAAATTCTCTAAAAATGTATAAAGCCTACGAAGAACCTGATTTTTTGTCACTAAGTAGACAGAGTCGACAAAGTTCAAAGCATACATGAAATTTCTCATAAATACCCCGATAATGATCGTATTGAATGCTTATATCAACCAAAGGAGGTCATATATTTTCAAATGTCGTTCAAACGCCCACAAACACTACAAAATTAAAAAATTCAAATACAAAAAATATTAAAATCTGAAATATTTAAAATTTAAATTCAACCATCAAACACTTAAAAACCCATCAACCTTCCCAACAGTTTGTCGAGGTGGATAAATTCATATATCACTTCAGCTTACAAAAAGCTAATGTCTAGTCGAGAATATTAATATGATCAATTCTCAATCTATCTATTGCTAGTAAGAATGTGACACATGTCCTCTAACCGATGGTTTTGTCGCTAAATGACATCACACCATAGTCTTGCCACTAAATGGCACCACAGGTAAGCGGTTATGATCAGGACCCTCTGAACCAGTTGTTTTTGCTGCAAAAATAGCACCATTATATTATGGTTATGGCCAGAGCCCGTATGCTCCCCAATGACACTAAATCCTTGAGATGTGAATCAATATGATATAATCGATAGAGCATAAAGCCTTCTGTTAGCTAAAGTGGATTCAAATTTATTTGACAAATACTCACCTCAGGTCTACAAGGTACCCTTGGATGATGCAACACATGGCTGCCGACAAGGATCCTTCTGTCAGGTTGGGTCAACTACCTCCTCTGACTAAGTAGACCATGATCCATGATGGACTGAGACGATGAAACTATGGGATCTTGATCGGGTTTATTATCCATTCCTCCACCATCCACTTTAAGTGTAAGATGATGAAATTTTTAATTTTAAATAACATTCAAACACCTAAACCAATGCTGCTACTACACGCTGGATATCACATATCTAAGGGTACAATCATACCTGTTAACGGCGAATGGCACACCATGGCGCAAAGGTCCATTTGGAGCCATGGCGCATAGCGCACGGCGCGGTGCGCTCCATTTTGAACATGGCGCAAACTATATAAAATTTATAAAATAATGAGCATGAATATGAAATATCATTAAAATGAAAGACAAGCTATCAAAGAGACAAGAATTCACATTTAAAGTCATCACCCCTTCCTCCTCTCCTATAGAGTCCAATATCTCCCAATCAAAGCATGCACTCATGAAGAAAACTTATACAAAGCATGCACTCATGAAGAAGCAGACTAACACTAACAACTATTACTAAATATAATGAATACAACAATATGCCAGGCTGCCGGGGGTCCAAGGGGCGCTGCTCCCTGGTGGGGTTCGACCTGAAGTTCTTAAGTTCTCAAATTTTATTTGTAAGAGTAATTTTGAAGTTCTGCTTATTTTTAAAGTTCATAAATCATTTGTATGGAAAGATACCTAGCGGTACTGAGCATGTATCGAGTGGTACCAAGCATGTAAATAGCAGTATCGAGCATGTACATAGCAGTACCGAGCATGTACTTAGCGATACCGAGCATGTACCTAGTGGTACCGAGCATTTTTTTTAATTTTAAGAGGTGGACGCCTCTAAATCATAGTTGCTAGTGAAATACTTCAAGTAGCAATCAATAAGAACCATACATGTTAAGTTGTAAATTCTTGTAAAAAATATATTTATAAGTATAATGAAATTTAAAGACAATTTGACGCGCTATTTTGCGTCGTGCGCCATGCGCCATGGCTCACACGTGACGCACCTACGGCGCCATGTTCATGGCAAGGCGCATGTGTTTAAAATAGTGCACGCTATTTGCGCAAAATAGCGGCGCCATGGTGCACGACGCACTATTTCATGCAAAATAGCATCGTAGGTGCGTCGCGTCATGAACCATGCGCCGCTTTGGATTTTGAATCGGCGTAACTATTATCCAAAGCTAAAGCTTATCAATTTTGAATGGACCGGTTACCCGACCAGTTCCTGATTCAATTGGTTGAATCGATCGGTTTGGTTCGATTTTTAAAATATTGCTTCTTTCATCAATCTAATTTAAGGGAGTATTTTTTTATGATTGATTAACAATTAGTGGGGCATTTCATATTGATAACAGTTTTGAACACAAATATCTGCAACGTATTCATGATTAACAAAAAATATCATTTCATAACCTGAGTCTTGAATAGGGATTTATCATATAATAACTATCTTATCGTGTAATACACTATATCTGTTCAGGAGAACCGTCTAAGTTGTACCACTTTCATCCATATCAATATCCTTTTCCAAATCATACACGTCTCTAGTCAGTACCAATTTGGGGTGAATTCAACATATACATGCTTTTATTTGTAGTTATCATATTTTTTGCATTTATCTCATCATACATATATTTGTAATAATGGAAGGGATTGCAATAAAATGAATTTTATCTAACATCTATAATGATATGAAGACATTTAGGTAATAAAAAGAGAAGATTCACTTGCATTTTTCTTTGGCAAAATTGTATGTTAACATCATCAAATGCTTATATAAAAGACATCAATAATGCATTAAATTCAGTAACTATAAGTACTGTAGGATGAAAATATAATTACTCACCTTAGTTCCTTAATTTCGGTAGATTTATTGTTTTAACTTAATATATATAAGATATTCATGTTAATTAATTTTATTTAAACCATATGTATTTCTCTTTCCTAAAATTTGATCTCATTTTTTACATTTTTCTTTCATCCAAATATATTATACATAGTTTATACTTTAATTAAAGTACATAAACTATAATTATTGTCTGAAAATCTTTAATCTAATGTTTTGCATATCATTACAACTATACTATTAACCTTTCAATGCTACTTTAAATATACTTAACCTTATTTTTAATTTTTTTTTCCTTTGCTCTTAAAATTTTATTTAAATTTTTGGCTTTATTATTTCTAGATTTATTTTTATGACAAAAGGCAAAGCTTGAATCAAAATTTCCTTAATATTTTCTCATAAGTTTTAACTAACCAATTTATTATAACTTCACTAAAATAAAGCTTATATGTCAGTCAAGTGTTAAAAATCTTGAAAGCGATATTATCACATAATAATATTTTTAACTTTCTGATTTCATGAAATAAATTTATTAGATTTATGTTTTGTGTACACCCTTGTATGCTCATTTTCTTTTTTTTCATCAAATTTCCTTCTTTTCCTTCTACTTTTTTTCTCATTGGCACCAAATTCCTACTACAACAACAACAACATCAACATCAAGCCTTTATCCCACTATGTGGGGACATGAATCATTTTTCTCCATTATGTCCTGTTAAGAGTCAAATTCTCATTTTGATCTAATAAAGAAATGTCATTTCTAATATTTTCTAACCAAATCTTTTTTAGGTCTACCTCTACCTTTCTTAATATAGGTCAAATCTAATACATTTACTCTCCTAACCGGGTCATCAGAAGAATATAATTCCGAATTCCTAGTCACCAAATTCCTAATTATATCTACTCACCAAATTCCTAATCAAAATAATTTATTTTAGGTCTGGCAATAAGGAGAAAGAAAATAAATTTTACTTAATTTTCTTACATTTGTTTGGCCCGTACACGAAGTTACAAATCCTCGGCTTCTATTGTTCAGCCTCCTTGCACTTGATAGATATAATTTATTTCTCAGTTGATCTATTTCTCCATCTTTGCACGTAATTAAATAAAACTGACCCTTCGTCGGTTTACTCGAATCGACATTACGTTGAATTTTTTAGCTCTTTACAAATGTTTATCTTTCCACCATTTACGTGATATAATGAAAAATGAGAAAGGAGTTGGGTATTAGGAGAGAGGAGATTGTCTGATTCCACAAAAAAGTGATATTAAGAAAATTAAATCTAAACCTATCTAAACTAAATCCAATCAAATCGTTAAATTTAAATCTAAACCTATCTAAACTAAATCCAATCCTAATAATTTATCTTAAAAGTTGAAATTATCCAGGATGAAAATAGGCTGAACTATGATAGCAATATGGACAAAAGTATTACGGCAAATGTGAATGTTTAGAATTCAAAAATATTTTCAAAACATTTATAGACTTTATCCAGATTATTAGGAAATAACTTTGCCCACATTTTAATGTTTTGGTATCTGTTGATTTAAATAAGAAATTTACGCAAAGCTCAAGGATATCAGTTGTAAACAGATGGAGGAAAGGAGGCTAGTTTGCTGGTTTTCTGGCCAAATCAGAAGCAAATGGGGAAAGAGAAGAGAAGAATGGGAAAGAATGGGATCGATACATAGAGTGAGTGATAAGATTAGGGGAGTTACGAAGTTTGGCATAGTACTGTGCAACCTTATTGCTCATCTTTTTTGTTGGCTATAGCGATGAGGAGGAGCACCATTTCACACTTTGTATAAATGATTAAACTACTAATCATACGAGTAGGTGACTAATAATCAATTAATAATGTAAGGCTTCATCTCTAGTTATGTACTTATTAATTAATTCCCTTATTGTTATAAGCAGAAAATTAGTATTTTTTAATTTAATTACTATTTACATAATTAGTGGTGTTAATAGCAATCATTAATGTAACTTGTTTCATTGTAGCAAAACTAAATTCCTAAATAATGCCTTACTACCTACTAATAGAGGAACTGAAGCTTTTTTTGCCAACCAAATCTCTATTCAAATGAAAAAACTGAAAATTCTGCAAAGCAGCACGCCTATTCCTTGATTCACAAAGAACGGTAATAGCTCGTATGGTTAAAGAGTTGGATTCTCCTTCTTTGTATTGCTCGGTTAAATCTATGCAACTCACTTATAATGTTTTTTTATCTGTCAAACCATTCTCTTCGGCTCTTATTCCTTTTTTGGGCGGCAACGTTACTATTGATTTTGCGCTTCAGGAACTGAAGACAGCACTAAAGGAAGATACCATGGATTATGCGACATACACATCTAGTGTAAAGAGGAAGCGCCCCCCAGCTCCAGCCCCAGCACCATCTCTGGCCCCGGCTCCATCCCCCGCCCCGGCTCCAACTCCAGTCACTAGAAGCTCTAGAAAAACTATCCAAAACAGAGCAGCACGTAAGAAGGATGATGATGACGACGACGACGATGATAATGACGACGACAATGATGATGATTTCAGTGATGAGGAATGGACGGGTGGGCCCCGGAAGCTCGACTACAACGGTGTAAATGGCAGCGTAGGTCGGGTAACCAGGCAACGGGCTTTGATGTGTAGCAACTGATTATAATAGCTGAATGTACATTTTATTAGGAAAGAAGGAAAAAAAAAAAAAAGAGAGAAAAATTGTTGATGGGGGTAAGAATATTGTCACATAGAAGTGGTTTATTCTTTGTAGTTAGTCTCTAATTTTGGTGGAGCACTTTAGTCACCTGCATTTGTTTTCCAGGGACTATCTTGGTTGTATATGTTTCATGCTCCATTTTCAATTTCAATGAAAATGCTTTTTCTATGCTTATCATAATAGAATTTAATTCTGTATTTTAGATTTGACTGGTTCATAAAGGAACTAAGGCCTCCATTGTTTCGGCGTTTTTTCTCCTATTTTATTTAGAAACAGAGATTTTTTTTTTTTTTTGTCACTGTTTGGTTGAGACGCTTCTATAGAAATATTTTTTAGATAATTTTATTTTTCTGTTATTTTGAGAAATTTTTTAATATTTGCTTCTTAGTTAGAAAACTCAAATAGACCATAATGTATTTTCTATAAAGAATATGAGAGGATAGCTGTTTTCATTGGTTAGTAAATGTACTGGTCGTTTGCACTTGTTGGTTTACCTATTTACTTGTTTGTTGAATAGATAATTGGCTAATTTTGGCTTACAATACTTTCTTAACCATCCAATATGAAATTAATCATTGGTATTGTTGATAGTCTTATCCTAACAAATTTTTGGTTTTTTATTCATTATTTTGGCATTAATTTTATCTTTGGATTTGCTTTTCTTTTGTTTATTGTATATATTAAAATCATGGGAGCATTAATTTATGCTCTATATATGGAGAAATTATTTTGTGTGGATGTCAGACGATCCGGATGTCAATTAAAATGTGCCACATCACTCATAACCAGCAGGTCCCAGCATCGGTACCAAGCAAAAAAGTGATGTAGCACATTTTAGTTGGCCTCCCGATAATGTCTGGTGTCCGCACATAATAATTTATCTTAACATGGCCTCTTTGGTTCATGACTGCAAAAAATTGTTACTTAGGCTTCGTTTGGGATGCTTTTTTCTTGCTTCTTAAAGTGGCTTTCTAGTATAAATTTTAAAATCTTTGTACTAAAAAGCCGCTTTAAGAAGCAGCAAGAAAGCTGTCCCAAATGAAATCTTAGAGACCTATAGACCGTTTGAACTGGAGCGATTGTGGAAGTAAAACTAGAAAATGTTTGCTTGCAGTATCAACCCTATACCATTTAGGGTTTCAGTAAGATAGAAAAAGATAAAAGAATGACATTGAAAAGACATAGGAAATATAAAATGGTTATCACAGGGGATTATGACTTAAAACTGGGTGATTTTGATGTGAGGATTAGATTTTTTTATGAATATAATTTGAAAATCAATTTATAAAATGATTAAAGTGATCGTCTTTGTGGGTATCTTGAAGCAACTGCAGGATCAAAATGATCTTTTAATATAGTAAAAAATTATTTTGATCTTCTATAAAAAATAAAAAAAAATTATTTTCTATTTTCAAATATCAACAAAGCATATCTTCCAAAAATCTCTAACCATAATTTTAAATAATTTCTAATCAACACCACCATCATCATTAGTTATATTCTAACTATTTGACACCAACTTTATATTATGTAATCTTTTTTTTTTTTTTAATTCATTCCTGCTGATAATTTTTTATAAGAATCTCTGATCTACTGGTTCTTTATTCGGCACACCAACTATCTACAGAGCAATCTAAGTAAATAATCAGCTTTACTTGGCTTCGTGATAGAGCTTCATCATTAGCTTAAATTAAAGAGAGAGAGAGAGAGAGAGAGATAATTAAATTTTTTTTTTTTTATTTTATGATATACAACTTCTGTAAATCATAAAGCTAACTCACCCTAAGCATTCTGTGTTTCATTTGTTTCACTAAGGCTTCGTTTGGGATGGCTTTCTTAATGCTTCTTAAAACAGCTTTTTAGTACAAAAAATTTATTTTTTGTACTAAAAAAACTACTTTAAGAAGCAATAAGAAAGCCGTCCCAAACGAAGCCTAAGAGTCCATTTGATGTGGTTACAGATTGTGGTAAATGTTGTATAAAGCTCTTGCGAGAAAAAATAACATTTTAATAGATTATGTGAATAATATAAATACTTTTTCTAAATAAATCGGATGACAATTTTCTTATAATTATGACATTTTAAAATATCTGTTTATGAAAAGCAGTTTTTTATTACAAAAAATTTTAAGAAGTAGCAAGAAAGTTATAGCTAAGCGGAAGCATGACAACGATTTGTAAAACAAAACAGTGAGAAAAGTTCTCTCAAACAGATCATAATACTATCTCTCGTAAGAGTGGGAAAATCCTGATAGACCATACAACGAAACAATGCAGCTCATTTTTATGAAGAATTCATCATGATATGCACATGGAGCTTCTAATTGAGAGGTCATTTAGGCTTCGTTTGGGACGGTTTTTTTATTGCTTCTTAAAGCAATTTTTTAGTTAAAAAATTATTTTTTTTTTACAAGAAAGCTATTTTAAGAAGCAGAAAAAAAGCTGTCCCAAACGAAGCCTTAGTATTATGATTGTTGCATGCTACAATATATACTTTGAGGAGAGGAGTTTAAAGACCAGAGAAAGAGCAAAAGATAGCTTATTTTAAATATTAAAAAAATAATCAAGAAAAGAAGTTTTATTTTTCAAATCTTGAAAAATGAGTAAAATAGTCTAGAAACTACTTTAAGGGTGCTTTTGGGACTGCGGTACTGCTGATTTACTTTATAAAAAGTTATTAAATCATTATTTGGGACATTGCGGCAGAACCACGGCAGAAAAAATTTGCGGCGCGTGGTTGCTTCCCGCGACCATTCTCTGTCTCCCGCGGTCCGCTGCGGTCGGCTGCTTTCGGCAGAGAAATGACAAAAATCCCTCTCTTCAGTGCCTTTTAAATGCCAACGAAATGAGCCTTCAGGCTTCTCTCCCTCTCTCGTTTCGTAAGCCACAATCCACGCCAACTTCGTCAAAGCCACGACATCCTGTCCTGAAGCCGACCAACACCCTTCCTCACCTCTATACAAGGGCGGAACACTTGTGTTCCCAGGGGGGCAATTGCCCCCCCCCC